TGACGGTACACTCACACAAAAATAATAAAATAAATTTAAAAAAAAGAAAAATTCTTTCATTGTTTTACAATCCCTCCCCCCAGGTCCACTCCACTATGTAGTCTTCGCGCTGGACTCCTGTCATGACAAAAACACCCAATCACATATCCCTTTTAAACTATTTTCACATTATTTATGCCATCCTTCTCAGTCTCCTCCTAACCCCGATGTCAGTCCCATTTTACAATGTGGTACCATGCAGTATTTGTCCTTTTGTGACTGAGATATTTCACTCAGCATAATGTTCTACAGGGTCACCCATTTTAAATAATATCACATGAGTTCCTTGTTTTTCAGTGGAGTGTAGTATTCTATTGTGTGAATATACCACAGCTTTTCTATCCATTTGTTTATTGATGGGCACTTAAGTTGTTTCCAACTCCTTGCTATTGTGAACAAAGCCGTGATAAACATGGGTGTACATTTACATGCTTGGATGGCAGGTATTAGAATTTTATAAATAAACTATTATAATTTAAAAACCAGCAATACTCACAATTATGAGGCATAATATTAGAAAAGAAACAGGTTATGGTTTAAGATTAGGAACAATTTAGAATACAGTTCTTCAATCAAGACAGTCTCTTCTCAGCTTTGTCCAAAGGCTTCTCTTCTGACCTCTTCTCTGTGTTAAAAAACTCTTTTAGCTCTGCTGAGGCAGGCCTCTGTCTGCCCTGGGTCTTGTGGCACTTGGCTTCTGCCTTATTTGGTTTGTTGTTGTGTGCTATAGAGTCAGAATCAACTCATAGCTGACCCTCTAGCGGATTTTCAGAGGCAAGAGGAGACTGCCCCTCCTAAGTGTTATAAAGTAGCTCTGCCATATTTTAAATGTCATCTCTCTTCCCTACAAACCTGTGACTTAAGGCACTTGGCTTCAGCTCAGCAGACCTATGGCCCCAACAGTCACCTAAAGGGAGACACTCCACAGCAAGCCTCCTACCTAGAGCATTCCGATTTCTCGTTCTGTGGGCCAGGAATCCCGCAGCTCCACCTGGTCCCAGTCTCCTGGCTCTGCTACCCCATTTTCCTCTGCTGCTACCATCTCCCCGTTGTTAATAGCTCTCTGTTTCCCGATTCAAGAACATTTCAGAGCAGGAATCTCAAGTCC